AACACTTAATATTTAGTAAGATGGGAATGTAAAAACTAAAGATGAGGAAAAAGTATTTTCAAAAGGAAATCTTTGGAGATCATTTTACTGCAAATAAAACATTCTAACCACACTCATGGTACACATAAATACTAGCAACTGACAAGTACTCAAAATGGAAAAGATCTAAACAATGGATATTAAATAAATTAAAGGTATTTAAGATAAACAAGATAGAACAAAACAGTGATTAAAAAATGAAGTGACCATCTCCACCCACAAGACAGGATGACTAGAACAGAGCCTAAATTTCCCCCTAACATTTTCATTAGGGGTTTGCCTGTTTAGCTTGTATCCATTACACTACTAACAGTCATTCCTTGTCAACCTAAATAATACTGTACCCTCTAAAGAGAAGGAGTGGGGGCAGAAAAAATGCCAAGTCCTTCTTGGACTTCAATGCCAGGTCTGTTCAGGCCAAGGAATTGCAGTGGGGTCAGTCACAGTTGTGTTTTTCCTCCGTCCCCTATGTGGCCACAGTGGGTGGAGCACAGTTTGGGGGAAATAATCAATTTAGAAAGCTGTCCTGGAGATAATGACAATATAGTATTATCATGTCTCCTTACTTTGTGACTGGACCTAAAGATGGCTGAAAAAAAGAAATAAAACTTGTTTTTTTTTAAAGAAAATGGTAGAATTTGTGCAAAGTTAACAGTCACAACAGATCATTTACCAGAGTTACAGTGTTTTTCTGACACAATAATACTTCTTAGGAGTGTTCATGTTTTCTGCCATAGGATCTCTCTCTCTCTGTGTCTATCTCTCTGGTGTGTGTGTGTGTGTGTGTGTGTGTGTGTGTGTGTGTGTGTGTGTGTCTGGAAAAGGAATGAAAAAAAGCAAAAGGCAGAAAATTATTATAAAAGTTTTGTTCATCAGGTGTTTCAAGTCAGGATTATGCAGATGCTAGGTAATGTTCAGCAAGACGTGTTCAAAGGCAAACAGTGATCACATTTTTGTTCAAAAAGCTTAATCTTAAAGGAGTCCTGTGTAAGAAAACCACTTGGAAAATATATCCTTGTATGGACTTCAAAAAACTGATCATACAAGAAAGTTTTTGAAAAATAAATTAGGCAATTAAAAACATCCTTTCCATCCAGCCCCAAAAGATAACATTTAAGCAGAGAAAGTACCATTCCTCTGAACCCTGCATAGCAGCCTTGTCTCCCATTTCTGAATGACTTGGTCTAATGTCTGATAGTTTTAAAATGACTGTCATTGTCTATCAAAATCCCAGTCTTTACTCATTAGTGGCAAAGTCACTAATGTGGCAAAGTCAAATTCACAGTGCTGCTAGGTAGCCAGCACCCCTTCACTCACTGTAGCCTTTGAAGCTCTGTGGAGAAAAAGTACAGGGGCAAGAGGCCAGTTATGTAAACAATACCTCATTCCCTGAAGCTCCAAGAATGCCGTGAAGGAAATGGACTAGTTTCAAAGAACTTTTTAAATGGTGAAATATACGGAGAAGTTATTTTAAAATGTGTCACAAATAGAGAATTTTTAGAGTCATCATCATGGAAACTCAGAAATACTGTATATACATATATGTATACATGTTGTTGTAGTTTAAGACAGGAGTTCATGATGTAGACCAGGTTGGCCTGCTTTGAACTTGGAATGTAGCTGAGACTGGCCTTGAATTCTTGATCCTTTTGTCTCCACTTTCCAAGTGCTGGCTGGGATTGCCGACTTGTGCCACCATACCTGCCAAACTCATTTTTAATTTTAGTTTCAGAATTTTGCTTTTTTTTGAAGCATATAGTGGAATGTTTATTGAGACATAAATGTCATAATTGAAGAATAATCTCAAATGAAGAGAATCCAGCCCATTATTTGTAATATTTACTTCAAATCCAAGGCATGTAAAACTATCAGTGTCTTTCTAAACCATCCCTGTATGTTATTACACTATTAAACATACTAATGTACTCAAAATTGATAACTTTAATTTACAACACTGGACAAAATAAAAACATAAAGCATCATCTCACATGCCTCACTTTGAAATGATGTTAGCAAGATCCGGTCAGCTTACAGTGAGAGGCTTGCTTTTTATTTATTTAGACAAGGTTATTAGTATGTGTCAATTGCAAGAGATAATGGCTTTCACTCTGACATGAAGGTGGGAATCATACATGACATTTTGCTGTTGGGTGTTGGTGTCGTTTGCCTCCAGTTAGGCCGACAGAGTTTGAAAATGAGTCCATGTAAATATAGTTTTATCGTATTGACTCCATCACCTTCTCTCATAGCCCTTCCTCTCTCCCCTGTCCTCTTCCTTTTTCCTTTTGGTCACCCTTTTACTTTTATGTCTTATCTTTTGCTAGATTCTACATCTGAGGAAAACATACTTAGAAGTAGAATTTTGGTCCTAACCAGAAGAATGTGTGACTTTGGGCAAGTTCAGTTAGAGATGCTTGACTTCTTTACTTGATAAATGTGCTTGTTTCATTTGACTGTTCACCTGAGAAGGCTGGAGCCACGTACATGAACGGTGAAGTGGTGAAAGGGGAACCTTCAAACTGGATCATCCTAGTTGAAAGGCAGTAGACACTGACACTCAGAAACATAAAATTTCCATCTTCTATGAAAATTCCAGAACAGAATCAAAATCACTACCCATGAGAGAGAACATGAAAGCATTCCTGCTTCCTGAAAGTCACATGAGACAACTGAGCTGCAGAGCCATCATGAGAGAACTAAAGTCACACATAGATAGATTTTGCTCATTTATTTCTTGAACAATATCTGTTCAGAGCCTGCCTATTAACACAGAGTGACGACTTATGCACAAGGGGACAAGGGGGAGGGGTGGGGGTATTTTAGAATGTTCCCAGGCCATGCAAAGTTTTGAGAGCAAACCTCTATCAGTCAGAACACTAGAGGGAAATAGGCTGTATTCCCACTGGCAGTACAAAAGATATCATTGCAATACTATTTACAAAAAACATAGCCATTGGGATACCTTGAAACTAGCAGCTGTGGGAACTGCTTCCTGTTCTGTCCTTAGATCAGAGTGTTATGGCCATCACTGTGCTGTGGCCAACACAAGGAACCTCCCTTTCTTCCTGCCCTCTGGTCTCTGTCTCCATGACTGCTTTCCACAGGTTGAAGGAATCCCAGAGTCAGTAGTCCACAGAGACCACAGACAGCATTCCTGCAGTAACTGTGTAGGAATGAGAAAAGGAAGAGTGGACCAGGACAGTCAGATGAGGAACATGTCCCCCAAAATATATTTCTCCTATGTGCCTTGAAAAAAAAATGTAACGTCTTGACTTTTTTGTAATTTGGTAAATTGCCATGTAATTTGCAGTCTTGCTGTTTCCTTGCTAGGTGACTATATTGTGAAAGGTACATAAATATGTACTCCAAATTCTAACATTCAAATAATTCAAATACATAAAATTTGTTTCCACAGTGACATCCTGACAAAAGTACTCTTGTTCCTCAAAAGAGCATTTCTTGAAGCATTTTATCTTCTGTCTGTAAGTTTTCTTATCATATCTCCAACCATATATGCTGTAATCTTAACATTAAATTCTGATTTATCATCTATATAACTAATATCATTAATCAATCATTCTTTTTATCAGTCACCTATCATCTATGGATCATCTATCGATTTCCCATCTATATACCTTATCTATCATGTTTCTATTATCTATGAGTCTATTTATCTATCTATTACCCATCGACAATCTCATTTATCTATTAATATTTTATCTTTCATATATCATGGCACTGGGGGTATTCTTTTATATTTTGAACAATATATTATTCTGTACTATCTCCATTAGACATATTCTTCTCACCATGCAACATCAAGAAAACCACCTGTAACCCTTACCTAGTTCATACTGTTAGCATTTTACATAACCTTTTAATATTCTTGCTGTGTTAACATTTTCACAGACTTTGATATATTGAGTATGAACAAGTCCTCTATCTTGAATTTAGGCCTAAATTTAACTAGTGTTTTAGCTTAGGAGTATGAATGTTTTGTTTGTTTCTGGTAAGCTCTGTAGGACTGTCAGATAGACTAAAACTCCACAGTGTAAGATCTTTCCTTGCCGATTTTTGTTCGGCTTCAAGCTGCCTCTTACAATCAAACCATAAACTTAGCCTGCTGCTGTTTGGTTTGCATGAGAGGAGTAGAGAATTTATTTATTTATTGCTGTAGACAGAGGGAATTCTTTTCCTCAGCATATTGAATCAAACACCTAAGTGTCTGTAGGGTTTCCTCTCTTGCACACCTACAAAGGCAAAGCTTCTTTCTCCCCCACTTCCTATCTGCAGCATCAGTTTCACTGTCAATTCCTGCATAATATAGTCAAATTATGTGTTAGGAATTCAACTCTGGTTTCCTGGGTGACTGTACAATACCACTACTTAGTATTCCTACTCACGTAGCAGCAGTACTATCATGCTTTTAATCTGTATCTTCATGGTAGAGAAGCCAGGTTTTCACATCAAGCATATAGCAAGAGATGAAATGTATAGAGTGAAAAACCAGACAGGAGGTCTTGAGCTCAGCAACAATAGGCAGCATTTTGAAGCCAAGATCTCATGGTGGACACTTCTGGGCTCTTCTTAGTCTTTCTTTTTCCTTCCTTCCTTTCTTTTTTTAAAAACACATCTGTTTTTGGTTAAGTTCTGCAGAATCAGAATTCCTTGCATTCTCTTGTCATCTGTTGTGTGACTGGACTTTATATTCATGCCTCTTTCAGCAGTCTTCACAAGCCTGGCTTGTGAAGTGGCTGGCTTCCTTCTGGAACATGTAGAATTAGGTATACCCTTAAATGTTAGTGATACTGAGGTTCTGGGTTTCTTCCGGTGACCTACCTAGATAAATGTCATGAAATGAATCATGTCTACCACAAATGACCTGATGTGACATAAGCCAGGAAGTCCCACTCTTTCCAAGTATTGTTTACTGAACCCGTGACACTTACTGCTTGAGTGATTTCTATGGTGAGGAGCTGAAGCTGATGGTGAAGATAGAGATTGTTTTATTCTCTTAAGTTTGCATTTCCTCCTGTACCGTGGTTTGTATTAGATTGCTTTCTTTGGAAAGTACCAGGGGGTCATAGTCTTTAGATTTTGATTCTTGCATGATTTTGCTATTTTACTCAGGTCAAATAATTTTTCTGACACTTTGTTCTCTCATTAGGCAAAAAAGCATGAGCCAATCCCTCTCTTCATCTCTCTTTCAAGCACTTTACCACCAAGCTGCCTGACCATTCTTAAAACATGATAGTAATGTCTTATACCTTATAATAATAGCATGAAATATTTTATGGGAGAGTATCTATTTTTTAGACAAGGTTTCTCTATTGCTTTGAAGGTTGTCCTGGAACTCGCTCTGTAGACCACGCTGGCCTTGAACTCACAGAGTTCTGCCTGCTTCTGCCTCCCGAGTGCTGGGATTAAAGGCATGAGTCACCAACTCACAGCTGGGAGAGTACTTTTTGAGTTATAAAGACTTAAACAGATAAATACTAATGTAATTAATATTTTGAGACAAGACTTTACCTTGTAGTTCAGACTGGCCTAGAACCTTTGAGTGCTGGGACTATGGATGTGTACACTATATTTGGTTGTGTAATGTTTTCATACTCTTTATGATCATTGGTGTCCAGGGAGTATAATTGCTACCTCCTATTCTTATTCTATTTTTATGAATATCTTTGTGTCAGTTTTTTGGCTTCTTGTATGTTTTCAGTCTGTCTTTTCAGGACATGAGGTTTAACTGGCTTCTAAATTGTGGTACTTGCTTGTGTATGTGAACTGTACGCATCCTGAGTTGGTTGAAAGAATGCATCACGTGCTTTTATTTAACTATGGATACAGAGCTGAGTTTTCATTTGTGTTTTTAATCCCCCAGGTCTAATCATCAGTCAGCAAAGCTGTACTGAAAAGCAGAAGTCCCCAGAGGAGCTGTTTCCCACAGCTATGATGAAGAAGAGCCGGAGTGTGATGACGGTAACTGCAGATGATGTAAGTAGTGTCAGGGACAGCTGCCACAAGCCTGCACTTTGTTCAGTAAATAAGCTCCTCCAGGCAGAGAAGGGGTTTCATACTGTCACTCTGTGACTTCATGTTCTGATGACCTGAACCCAGCACTCTGTGAAATGGATAGCAGGAATAATTCTCTTTTTGCCATGTGTAGATGGGTTGATTCATCTTTGTACACTGTTCTGTCATCCACCATGACCTCACATACTTTTAGTCATGTGCAGCAAACTCCTGAAAGTCACTTCTTATGGTAGAGTCATTAGCACTGAGAAGGGTGTGTTTTGTCCACACTCACTAGGCCCTGTGCTCATGAGTATTCTTCAGACCAGCAACATGAGCTTCAGAAAGGCAGAGTTTCAGGTCACAACTCAGATTTGTTAGTCTCACTGTTTAAAAATTATCGCAGAATGTCCATCATGGCTGAGAAGCTTGACTCTAAGTCATTTGAAGTCTATAACCATACAGTCTTCACAGTGTTGGTTCTGGTCAGCTGATACTGTTTACCTTCTTGCTGTCAACCAAAACTCCTTCATTGGTCTTTCATGGCACATCCTTATCCAATTAGTCTTTAAAATTGATATAAAATTATATATCACTAATCAGATGTGCAAAAGGAAAGGTAGAGAGGAGAGGGAAAAAATCAGTGAGTTCTTTTGCTTTCTGTAAAAAAGCCAGAGGAACAGGGACTTTGCTGTGGTATTGTGACTTGTTTTTACCTTTGAATTCCTATTTTATAGGTTGAAGGAAAGCTTGTATAAGAATTTATTTCTAATTGGTATAAAAATCATATCTTGGGGGCTTTCCCAGGCTTTCAGATGTCTCCCCACTCTTACTCTTGTTTTAAATACAAGGCATCTGAGTAGAATAGGGAACTGGATATCAACTCCATTATACCAGAAAGGGATAACAGGGTAGTGTCGCATGGTCACGGGTTATCCTTTTCACCAGCCCCTCCTGTGGTGTACTGCTCCTCTTCTTGGGTCTTTGGCTCTCAGTCACAAATAAACTTACCTTTTATATTTCATTTCTTACACTGGTGATGGACGGTTATATTTAGATAGCTGTGCTCTGCTTAGAATGCCTACAGGGAAACTTTTGGAATGGAAAACACTTTTTTCTTAAAAAGAAATTTGGCGGTACCCCTTAATACAATTTTGTACCATTTATTTTAACGTTCTAATTTGTTTTAAAGGATAAAATGGAGCAGTGTTCCTGACTGATAGACAAACCATTTTAATAGTTACTTTCCTCGTTTCAGTTGCAGAATGTCTGACAAAGCAACTTGAGGATGGAAAGATTTATTTTCATTAGTGATCATGGTGGGCAAGGATGGTGTGGCGGTGGGAGTCTGAGGCAGCTGGTCGCATTGTGTCCACAATCGGGAAACAGATGAAAGTTGGTGATTAGCTAGTTCTCCTCCTTTTTTTTTTTTTTTTTTTTTTTTTTAAATCCAGGATTGCAACCCACAGAATGGTTCTTCTCACTTTTAGGGTGCCCCCACCAATCACTGTAATTCAGATAATTCCTCACAGACACACCCAGAGGCTTGTTTTGCTGGATGATTTTAGATTCCATCAAGTTAACACTTATTAACCATCAAAACATTTTTTCTTTTTTTATTATATTTTTAGAGAAATAATGCTGATTATCTCTAAGGAAATAAGGGAAGTTGCCACAGTTAAAAGAGTTTTACATCCACTTGTAAAAATATGCAGAAAAGAAGGCAGTTGGTCATTTATTATCAACGCCATCAGAACCACAGTGGGTAAATAGTACACAGGTTTTATGTGTCCAGCGTGGCAGTCTTTTACCACCTGTCACTAGCCTGGATGGATGTGAGCTGTGAACAAGCTAGTCATCAGACTGTGGATCTATGTACATGTAAATATTAAGAAAAGAAAAGTATTTCATCAATAATTTTAATATAAAATACATGTTAAAATGGTAACATTTTAGGTATATTAAACTGACTTGTTAAAGGCAATTTTTATTTCCTTTAAATATAACTCCCAGGAAATTTAAATTTGAATTTTTTACATTTTACAATTCAAATTTACATTTGAATTCCAAGCTGACCTCATTTCTGAAGGACAGTGCCAGCCAAGGTAGTACTTCCCCTCTGACACTCAGGCCGTCAGCCACAACACACATCGTGTTGTTTCCCAGTCTCCCCTGTCTCACTGAAACAACAGAAATGTATATTTTATGCATCACATTCTTAAATTAAGCCTTTACTCTTAAATCAGATACAGTTTGGTATATTTTACTTTAACTTATCAAATGTTTATTAAATAATTTAAATATCTACCCCATACCACATATACATTATACACATTGTGTGTCAAATATGACTGGGTTCTCAAGGGAGATTCAGCAACAAATAGCACAAGTTCTTGTCTACTTTGGCCTTACTCTCCAGAAGGAAGGTGGAAATAAGTTAATGAACTGCAAACAATCCCCGTAGTGGCGAAGGCTATAAACAAGTCAATGGGGGGGACAAAGAATGATTGTAAAAGTAGAGGATTTATGTCCGGACCATGTGAGGAGAAGATGTGTAAGCAGTGGGAAAATGGGATAAAAAGATCTTGGGGAAGAATTTTTGGTAAGGGGAGAAGAGTAAGTGAAAAGATCTTTAGTAAGACCTTTAGTTCAGGCAAGACACTATGCTTGGGGCTGTGGGAATACATGAATGAATAACTACGGTTGTGTCTTTATACACTCCAAATGTACTAGACATACAACAGGTGACAATAACTCTTGTGTATGTGTTCATTGTTTTGTATTTGAAAATTGCATTATAGAGGTGAGACTTACTTATGTGCAATCTAAGTACTGAACATTGAAATTAATCATGACCAAAGAGATTAAAAGGTAGGAGGGAGCTTCAGGTCATAGGAGGAGGAAAGAGGAATATGACTGAAGACTAAGAACCTGTAACTATGTGTATAGGTGAAAAAAGAGGGAAAGATAACTTCATATACATATAGAAATATAAATTATGTAAGACATACAGTTCAATGTGTCCATATATGCATACCACCTCTCTCTCTTTCTCTCTCTCAGTCTTTCTCTCTCCCTCTCTCTCTCTTTCTCTCTCTCTTTCTCTCTCTCTCTCTCTCTCACACACACACACACACACACACACACACACACACACACCACTTATGTGTGTGTATTAGAACCAAAGGTCAGACCTCCACACTGACACCCCAGTTACAGTTCCATGCTTCTAATCGTGGACATGAAGGCATTTCAAAGAAGAGAAAGCAATGAATAAGAGTGGTTGAGGTTTCCTTTAGACAAACTGCTCTTGTAATTGGTGATGACTGCTTATGATAAACCAAATTTCTCAAAGACACACTCTTTATTATTGTCTCATGGAATACCATGACATTTAGCTTTGATGGGGGACCTGAATGTCACTTGGTGCTTTTCATAACCTCCAGCTCTGACATCATATGATCTGAGCAACTGGCCAGTGGTATAAAGTGAATGTGAATGCAAGCACATTGTGTGTTCCAGGGAGACCTTATGCATACTCTAACCATGAGTATAAATGGAGAACTGAAAAAACTAGAAACACTTCAAAACTGACGAATCAGATGACAGACCAAACACCAGGCAGCAGTGAAACGTTGCTGAGGCAGCACTATGCCCACCCTGGGTGTTTCAGTAGTTCTGACTTGACTTTGAAATAAGATGGAGACACAGATCAGTCCCTTGCCCTCTGCCTTGAGAGGGAAATTTAGCTTTTTCTTTGGGATAACTTCTGTAATTTTGCTGGCAAGAATAATGACTTTTAAATAAGTAATTATTCAGGAATATGAGAAGAATTCAAAAGCAGTTATTTCTTCAAGCATTATTCAGACATAAGGTAACTTTAGGAAAGTATGAATTTTGATAAGAAATATAAAATTATGATTACTGGAGATAACATTAAAATTAATGTTCCTTCCCCCCAAAATAGTTGATTTATGAGTAGCATCAGAGCTGGTCAGAATTATGATGGCTAAAAATAGGAAAATCAGGTACAAATCATAAGTTCATCTATTGAGAAGTACCAAATTCAATTTTGAGGTTACTAGTAATTTGGGTAGAGGAACAGTCTATAAATTATAAATACAGAATTTGGTGTAATTATAAATAGCTCTGCATATATTGTTTCTGATTGTTTTGAGAATAATACTGTTTTCTGCATTTAATTTAGTTTCTGAAAAACTGTTCATTATGTTCTTTTATGGTGATATGTTTTCACACTCACCAAGGGATTCTAAAGCAAAATCTTTCAATTCAAAGAATGACTAAAAAACTGTAAGTTCTTAGCTTGTTGGTAAGGTAGTGTGGGTCCTAGTTTGCTTTTTATTGCTGTGATAAAGAGTATGACCAAAAGCAAGTTGGGGAGGAAAGGGTTTATTTGGCTTGCATTTCCTGACCACAGTCCATCATGAAGAGAAGTCAGGGCAGGAACCTGGAGGCGGGAACTGAAGGGGAAGCCACGATGGAACATTGCTTACTGACTTGATCAGCTGCTTTCTTATAAAAGCCAGGACCACCTGCCCAGAGGTGGTACCACCCACAATGGACTAGGCCCTTCCACATCAATCATTAATCAAGAAAAGACTGTAGGCCAGTCATATGGAAGCATTTTTTCAATTGAGTTTTTTTTCTTCCCAGATGGCCTGAGCTTGTGCCACGTTAACCACAAAACTAACCAGCACAACTGTTGGGAGACACCCTAGCCCCGCCGAATGGCAACCCAGACAGGTGCCAGGTGGACCCGGGACTCGCCCATAAGGGTGGGGTGAAGGGAAGTCGGGGTGACGTAAGGGAAGGTTCTTAAGGACTGCACATGGAGGCCCTGGCCCCTTCTCTCTGGCCACGCTATCTTGGTTCCTGTAAGCTCTCTCTGGCTTGCGTTTTGCTCTGGTGTTTACCTGAATAAAGAAGTCTTACCATCACGGACTATAGTTCATCTCTGAGCGCACGTGGTAATCCTAAGAGACCCCTTGTCAACTCAACACACATACACCACTATTAAACCATAACCTCTTTCCTTCATCCCCCCAAGATCTCATGTTAATGTCAATATCAAAATGTAGACCACATTCCAACTTTTACAAGTTTCATGACTTTTACAATGTTCAGTCTCTTTAAGAAAATCCATGGTCTGTCTACAAATCCAAAGCCTGTGAGCTGTAGACTCCTACAAAATAAAATTTAAGAGGTTTTATACTTCTTATTCCAAGAAGGAAGAACCAGAGCACTGCTGCAATTCAATCAAAGCAAAGCCAGCACCCAGAACCATAAATCAAATCCTATAAGTCAGTTTCCTGCATCTGGTATTTACTCAAGGTCTTCTGGGCTCCCAAGGAATTGGGCACCTCCACTTTCCAGGCTCTGCCATCCACAGCACACACAACTTGTCTCATAGGCTCAGGCTGTCTCCATTCCATACTTTCTGCTGTACTTGGCGGTCATCCCACAGCCATGGCACCTCAACTATCTTGTGATCGCCACTGCAACAGAGGGTGCATGTCACCAAAAGTCTTGCCAGGCCCCTCTTCAGCGACCCCAGCCCTTCAATGTGATGCCAAGTTCAGTCTCTTCCCACAATCTTGGGGTTTCCATTGCAGCAGAGGCTGCACACTTAGCACGCCTCTCCTGACCACTCATAGTGCCAAGCCTCAGCTACTCTCCAGTGCTGTTTCATTCTTGAGGGTCTCATGCCACAACCCAAGTAAAACATGGAGACTCCTAACATTACCAAGTTCAACTGCCAGCATTAGATGCAGTCTTGGCTCTATTGGGACAGTCTATATGCTGACCCTAAAGAAGTACTCCCCGGGGGGGTTTCAACTCAGTGATGCTGGTCTCTTCTTAGTTATAGCTGACTGATCGTTCATCTCCAGCTAACCAGCATCAACTGTCCCAGTAAAGCAAAGGTTTCATTCCCATGGTTTTTGTCTCTCGTTAATCACAGATGATTCTTCAACCTGAGCTGACCAGAAACCACAGATTCTGATATAAAATATCCCATCAACAGCTCCGATACAGTGTTTGAGGGACTCTCAAATTTCCCTCTGAAGATTTACAAGCCAGGCCTTCACCATCTCCATTGTTTTCAGCATTCTTATCTTCCAAGCTCCCACAAAACAGCCTATTAAGCTCTAAAGACTAATGGCTTTTCTAGCCCCAAGTTCCAAACACTTCCATAATCCTCCCCAAACTGCATGCTCTGGTCTGGTATAGCAATACCTCATGATCTAGGTACAAATTTCTATCCAACTTGCATTTAATTTGCTCTGATAAAGAGCATAGCAGAAAGCAACTTGGGGGGAAAGTGCTTATTTAGCTTATGTGTTCTGATCACGGTCCACTGTGAAGGGAAGTCAGGCACTGGAGTCAGGAACTGAAGCAGAGACTATGGAGAAATGCTGCTTCCTAGCTTATTCCTGTGGTCTGTTCAACTTGCTTTCTTACACAACTGAGGACTACTAGGGCAAGGATGTCACTGCCCATAGCGGAATGAACCCTTCCTCATTAATTAAGAAAATGTTCCACAGACTTTCCCACCAGCCAGTCTGACAGAGGCCCCCTCTTTCCAGATGACCCAACCAATGCTGAGTTGACAAAAGCTCTCCAGCACTATGTGGAAGATGTGTGTGTGTGTGTGTGTGTGTGTGTGTGTGTGTGTGTGTGTGTGTGTGTGTGTTAGGTATGACTTTGTTATCTATCCAGTGGAAAGCATCAAGAATCCATTTAGTCCATTTACTGCTGTCAAACCTGGTTGGTAATGTTTACTTCTCCTAAAGAGAAAAATACTCTATACTTAATCAGAAAGCCCTGGTGTTTGGCAATTTAACTAAATGGTGTCTTTATCTATTTACCTTAGGGCAGTGTTTCTTATGTATAGTTGAGACCTTGCCTTCTAGAAAACTGATTTTCTTTACATGCATATTTTTGCTGGATGTAGGATTTCTGGCCTTTTATATATTCACCTTCAGTGTTCACTAAGATTTTGTAATTCTGTCTCTTTAA